CTGTAATTTTGTTACTGTTATAAATCGTAATGTAAATATCTGATATGCAGGATGTATTTTCATTCGCTGGACGAAATTGGGCCCAAATACCCGATAAGCCCAAATTTGAACACTGCTGGGGTTGGGCGGAGGGATTGCTTTTGTCATTTGGGAGTTGTAGTTGTTGGGATTTATAGTTCACCTACCATCAAAGAGCATTCTGAACCCCTCCAATGATGGAATTGAACCAAACATGGCACACAGATCTCCCATGACCAACGAAAGTACTGGAAGGGTTTGGTGGGCATTGACCTTGAGTTTTGGAGTTGTAGTTCACCTACATCCAAAGAGCACTGTGGTCACAAACAATGATGGATCTGGACCAAGCTTGGCACGAATACGCAATATGCCTAAATCTGAACACTGGTGGAGATTGGGGAAAATAGACTTGACATTTGGGAGTTGTAGTTGCTGGGATTTATAGTTCACCTACACTTAAAGAGCATTCTGAACCCAACCAGTGATAGAATTGGGCCAAACTTCCCACACAGAATCTCCATGACCAACAGAAAATACTGTGTTTTCTGATGGTCTTTGGTGACCCTTTTGACACACCCTCATTACCCCCCCCCCAGGGTCCCGATCCCCAGGTTGTGAAACTCTGTTCTAGAATATACACACACATACATATGCACGTACGCACACACACACAAACGTTAATGCTTGGGTCTTGCCCAGGCATGGGCAAACTTCAACTCTCCAAGTGTTTTGGACTTCAACTCCCACAATTGTGAGAACATGGCCATACAGCCCAGAAAAGTCACAGCAACCCAATAATAACATAAGGTTGCTGTGAGTTTTCTCTGCTGTATGGCCATGTTCCTCTCCTGACATTTTGCCTACATCTATGGTAGGCATCCTCAGATATTGAGAGGTCTCTCTCTCTCTCTCTCTCTCTCTCTCTTCAACCTCAGAAGATGCCTGCAATAGATGTGGGCAAAATGTCAGAAGAGAATGCTTCTGGAACACAGCCATACAACCTTGAAAACTCACAGCAACCCAATGATCCCGGCCATGAAAGCCTTCGACAACACAAAAAACAAAGTTGTTCATTCACTACAAATCTCAGTTGCACCTTGGACCTAGGAAGCTCTTTTGGGGACGAAACAGTTATGATTGCAGGTAGTGCTCTCAATTTCACAAAGCAAAGGTCACAGCTGGGAAGGCAATGTCATGCCCAAGATTGTAACAGCAAGTGCAGTTCGGGTAAATTATACACAGGTCACTTAATTTACCGCTTGAAGTTTTGCCAGTCCTCTTACCCTGAAACCTTGCTGCTCCAACCTGCCCATTCAGTTCCACCAATCTTAGCTCTTTCAATTACTGTGTTTTCTGACGGTCTTTGGCGACCCCTCTGACACCCCCTTGCAATCCCCCCCCAGGTGTTCTGACCCCCAGGTTGAGAAACATTGACTTAAATGCTTTTTCTTTTTGAAAGTAAAGACCAGAGTCTCAAAGACTGAGGGTCTTCCACACAGCCATATAACCCAGAATATCAAGGCAGGAAATCCCACAATATCTGCTTTGAACTAGGTTATCTGAGTCCACACTGCCATATATTCCAGTTCAAAGCAGAAAATGTGGGATTCTATTCAGCTGTGTGGAAGAGTTTTTTTCTCATAACACACATTAATTCTTCCTCTTTTCTTCAACCGTCAACAGGTTTTTGGAAGCAACAGAAAACCCTGCAAAACTTGTTTGACAAAGTCAATAATAGGATTAGTATATGGAATGAAGGCAGCAAATCTTAGAGAGAGATCACCTCTTTAATTTATCTTCAGCTCTTTGAGAAACCCGCTGAAAATCATTCTAAAGCTACCCTAATGGTCCCTTTTGAAATGACTGAGATTATTTGCTACTGGAAATAATATGAAATCTAACCCAAATGTTGTTTGTTGTTTTATGAAGTCTTAATTATTTTTTATTATAACCACAAGATTTTTCTTCCTAGCTGCTTTAAAACCTTGCAAATTTAATGCAAGATGAGTTATCAAAACTAAAAGAGTTCAAAAGATCCAGTTACAGCAGATCTTCATTTCCATGTCTCATCATTAGAAACCCATCCTAACCACAGAAAAATCTAGTTGTGAACAAGATGTGTTCAAAGAACAAATGCTATCTTGGGAGGAGAGTAATGTCCAATCTCGATAAAATAGTGAAAAGTAGAGACATCACACTGGCAACGAAGATCTGCATAGCTGATGCAATGGTATTCCCTATAGTAACCTATGGATGTGAGAGCCGGACCATAAGGAAGGCTGAGCAAAGGAAGATAGACACTTTTGAACCATGGTGTTGGAGAAAAATTCTGAGAGTGCCTTGGACCACAGGAAGATCCAACCAGTCCATACTCCAGGAAATAATGCCTGACTGCTCACTGGAGGGAAGAATATGAGAGGGAAAGATGAAATACTTTGGCCACATAATGAGAAGACAAGAAAGCTTAGAGAAGATAATAATGGGGAAAATGGAAGGAAAAAGGAAGAGGGGCCGACCAAGGGCAAGATGAATGGATGGTACCCTTGAAGTGACTAGCTTGATCTTGAAAGAGCTAGGGGTGGCCACGGCCGACACGGAGCTCTGGCGTGGACTGGTCCATGAGGCCGCAAAGAGTCAGAAGCGACTGAATGAACAAAAACAAGAAGTGTCCAAAGAACAAATGCTATCTTAGACTAGTATTCTACTTCCAGTCATACATACCTCTTAACTGCTGTCAGCATTCATCTCAGCCGTATCCAGATATCATGTAGAGCACTCTTTTCAGTCTGGTGTCTTCAGTATTGAATCAAAACCTCATGGAAGAATTTCAGCATCCTTTTAACAACTCCTCTGGTGCTTAAGAAGATGAATTTAATATTGATTTATGATATTTCAGACAACCAATGGATTCTTCATAAAGGTAGTTAGATTTAGAAAAGAGGTCCTTTCTTCTACATTAATAGTGGCTCTAGTATTCATGGATAATTTAGACTTTGTTTTTTTGCATCACTCTTTTTCTTTTTCTTTTAAAGGTTACTGAAAAACATTTTATGTAGTTTGTCCTCAGGATCTATGGATTCTGCATCCACAGATTCAACAATCTGTTGCTTTGGAATTTTTCCAAACCTTGATTTTGCAATTTTATATAAGGGACAATATTTTACTATGGCATTTTATATAATATAATATTTATGTATTTATTTATTTACTATATTTATTTATTTACTACATTTGTATACCCCCCTTCTCAGCCATCAGGCAACTCAGGGCGGTTTACAGAGGCAACGATTCGATGCCCAATAACATCATAAAACATTTAAAACATTAATACATAGTATAAAACCCAACAAAAGTAATAAAAACATAAGTCATTTGTGTCTCCTAATTAAAAACATTATCCATCTTGTCGTCCAGTCATTCTGAGTTCCTATGCCTTTTACATTGCATTTTCAAACGCTTGCTCGAACAGCCAGGTCTTGACTCTTTCACGGAATGTTAAGAGCGAGGGGGCTGATCTAATGTTCCTATGAAGGGCGGTCCATAGCCGAGGGGCCACCATTGAGAAAGCCCGGTCTCTTGTCCCTGCCAAACGTATTTGTGACGCAGGCGGGATCGAGAACAGGGCCTCCCCGGATGATCTTAAAGTACTAGCAGGTTCATAAGGGGAGATGCATTCAGACAGGTAAGCTGGGCCAGAACCATTTAGGGCTTTATAGGCTAAAGCCAGCACTTTGAATTGTGCCCAGTAGCAGACTGGCAGCCAGTGGAGCTGGCGCAACAGAGGAGTTGTATGCTCCCTGAGCTGCCGCTCCTGTTAGTAATCTGGTTGCCATCCATTGGACTATTTGAAGCTTCCAGTCTTCAAAGGCAACCCCACATAGAGCATGTTGCAGAAGTTTACAGGATGTAACCAAAGTGTGGACTACCATGGCCAAGTCAGACTTCCCAAAGTACGGGTTCAGCTGGCGTACAAGTTTTAACTGTGCAAATGCTCCCCTGGTCACTGCCAAAACCTGGGGTTCCAGGCTCAGCGATGACTCCAGGATCACACCCCTGAACCTGCATCTTCAGGGGGAGTGTAACCTATGCCCTGTTTGGCCTTATGATGGACCAGGAGTACCTCTGTCTTGTCTGGATTCAATTTTAATTTGTTCACCCTCATCCAGACTGTCAAAGCGGCCAAGCACCGGTTCAGGACCTGAACAGCCTCCTTAGTGATGGGTGGGAAGGAGTGACAGAGTTGGACATCATCTGCGTACAGGTGACACTGCACCCAGAAACTCCGGATGATCTCCCCCAGCAGCTTCGTGCAGATGTTAAACAACATGGGAGACAGTATTGAACCCCGAAGAACCCCACAAGACAATGGTTGTGGGGTTGAACAGGTGTCTCCCAGTAACACCTTCTGGGTGCGACCCTCCAGGAAAGACTGAAGCCACTGTAACACAGTACCTCCAAGGCCCATTCCTGCGAGGCGTCCCAGAAGGATACCGTGGTTGACAGTATCGAAGGCCGCTGAGAGGTCCAGCAGAACCAACAGGGACACACTCCCCCTGTCCAGCTCCCAGCATAGATCATCAACTAAGGCGACCAAGACTTGATCATCCCCGTTTTTTGAATTCATGTGAGGTCCTGGAACCAAACCCTAGTAGATACAATGTTTTCACTAACAGTACATGTTAGGACATATTCCAAGAAGGAGAGCATGTAAATGTTTTGTTTTATTTCCTTTTGGGAGAAGCAATTATGTTCAGAGATTCCACAAATCCCACGATGGGAGAAAACTGGGATATTAAATAAAAAAACGAACCCCTGAAAACGTAGGAATAGAAGAAGAAATGAAAATGAACCGAGTAACCATATTAATAACCCAAACTAGTTTGTAATACCATCACAACTAGAACAACTTCAGGTTTTGTATCAAAGTATAATACTGTGGTAATGGCTCATGTGCAGGATCTACATAGAGACAAAAATCATAGTTTAATAGAATATACACTTTATTTTTTTTTTCAAAAAGAAAAACTGCTAACAGAATTCAATACAGTGAAAAGTTTACATTATTAAAACCCAAAGCATTACAAAAGACACTTAGCAGAGAGGGTTAACTATATCCTGAAAAATCAGTTTCCACAATCAGAGCATTCATATTCATTATTATACTTTTTATAGTGTAACAGAAATAGAAGTGAATACCAGGTAGATCTTGAGCATAGAATTTTTTTTTCCTCACAAGGAGGATCATTTAAGTGCTTTCATTAATTATACACAAAGTATCTGCAGGAACGTACACATGGGACAGAATATTTGGAGAAAGCAGTGAGGGACAATTTCACCTTTATCACAGATTTTTTTGTAAATGGCAACAAGTTTGCTACAGAGCCTTTAATTATGGACTCAAAAGAATTTTACAGATTATCTACAAAACACATATATTGGGGGAAAAACATACAAGAAACACCAGAAAAATGCTTCAGATATTAAAGATATACAGGAACACAAATGTTTACTTTTGATATAAAATGATATTTTTATGATTTAGTTCAATTTCCTCTTTACGAATTAACATATTAATTAATTTATTGTTTTAAAGAGAAAGGGCAAAGAACACTATTTTAAACAACTCTTTAATATCTGGAAAGTCTGGCGGAATAGGTTCACTGCATGTGTTTCATGTAGTTACATGCGGCAGGTATGCAATTATTTGGAAAAAGATTTTTAAAGGAACTTCCCTCTCTAACATGATAATGCAGTGAGTTGTTTTATTGTTATTTTACTTTCATGCCAATGATAAAGAATTTGTATCAGCAGAAAACTATTACATTTGATAGGAGAAGTCCCCAAAACTTAGTGGAAATGAAAGTGTTTGGGACAAAACATCATTATGGGGTGTTATTAGTGGGGAAAGTGCTGCCCTCCAAAGTCTTTTAAAGAAATAATGATTTCCACAGTGACCCTAATCAATTTGTCATGTTTCTGTCCCTTTTATCAAAAGATCCAACTGCCCGATAAAGCATTTAATGAAATGTTGCTGTCAAGACTCAAGTCAAGCAGAAATTAAATTTACTGAAACATTTGGTTGAATAAAGGAATATAGCAATACCCCAGATTATACGAGCTATCCTAACTTAACAAATGGAAATTCATTACAGCTCGATGGAGGATGCCAAAAGCGCTGAATTAAGACAAAATGCAGAACTGTGTGCATTTCTAAAGTTGCCATGTGCTTTTGTCAACAGAACATCATGCAGGAATACTGCTAAATGGCAGACTGACTTGACCCCAAATAAGATGGCCTGAGTACTACTTTGAATAAATTCAGTGATTGCAGAAATACCTCCTATCCCAATACCCACATTCTCTGCTTTTGTAATGTATTAAATATTTAGTAAATAAAAGCACCACAAGTCAAAACTCAACATCAATTTAAATTTTGATTTCTGTGATTTTCTGAGGAAAAAATAAATCTCAAGCCATGCCATATTAAAATATTTTGAACAAGTTAGCAGTGATTACAGCGGAAGCACTTATTACTCCATGAGGACTGAGATTAAAGTGTATTTACATATTCTGTAATACAAAATACAGTATTTGAATAATATTAATCACCATATATTAGACACAAATGTACAAACGAAACAGTTCTGCTGTCCTGGACCCTACTAAGCACTATACGAATCAATACACATTAATTGTTATTTTATCTAAGGGAAAAAAGAGAGGGATGGGAGAAAGAAGGACAAGAGCCATCCTATTTCTCGTTTCACTCTGAGAAGCTGATGTGCTGACAAATTCTGTTAAATTTCACAGGAAATCATTCCTACACTTCTGAGCCAGAAGTTGTCACTAATGGACTAAGTAGGGATTTCATATCAAATGTCTGGAATAATATAGCTCACTTTCCTTCCCAGCTTTCCAATACTTTTTGCTGTCATAAAGAGTTGACCAGCTTTGGTAATATGACAAGCTTTCACCTTGAAAAGAATTCTTATTATAAATGAGCTCCAATTAACAGAATACAAAATGTCCACAACAAGAATCACTCCTTTTATATTTTGCTCTTCCTTGCATGACCTCATTCAGCTACAACAAAACAAATATCTGTAATTTGCTCTAGAAACATATACTGTGAAACTAAATGAGAAAATACCTTGCACATCTATAATGCCAGGAAAATAATCATATTTACTCAAGTTCATGTAGCAAATGTAGGAAAGAGAGCTGAAATGTAGAAAGAGGATGCCTACATGGTGCACCTGAATTGTTTTCTTTTTCTCAGATCAAATGAGACATGTATTAGTGAACTAAATGTCAGTTCAGCTTTCTATCTCCTTGTCATTGTGCCTCAGGAGGCAAGGTGCAAAAAGGTAGATATTTTTTAAAGTGCCAAACCAATCCTTCAGGGGGAAGATTATGGGCAGTTGAACATAAAAGAATACTGTATTTCATGGATTCTAAGAAACATCCTCCCTACAAGCATTTTAAAAAACAGTGCACCTTAGTATATAAAAAAGTCAATGGTGTCTTAGAATTGATGAAATATCAATATATATATATATATATATATATATATATATATATATATATATATATAAAAAAAATTGCAATTACAGGATGCATTTTCATCATTCAAACTTTACACATATTTTGATGTTAATATAATATACCTTTTCAGTATATTTTTCAGTATATTTCTAAGCTCTCACCACTGCTTATAATTACCTTGACACAGAACAGAACTGCCCACTAGGAAGTATCTCAATATATTATGCAGATACATTATTTGGTTATTCCAGACAGAACGGCACAATGCAGCATGGAGGGGATATGGAAAAAGGCCAACCAAATCTATTTATAGAAAAAAAATCCACTAAGTCACTATAATGTCAAAACTGCTACAAAACAGCAACCAATATTAATATCACAGGTATTATCAAAGTGTATAAATGCTTCATTATCCACAGCACTAAGTATGTCCCCATTATTTATTAAACAAATGTTACAAGAGTAATGAGAAAAAAGTCTATCAAAATTTCACATGAAACCTGCACAAAGATCACAAGAACCACTAGTAATTGTCCCATAAATTTAACCCATTGCTCTAGCTCCAAGTAAAGCCTCACATAAATATGCAAAACCAACTAAACAGAGGTGAAATGCTTACACTAAGCCTACACACAGCATTTTTTATGAACAGGATTAGCTTCTAAAATATTTTAAACACCACAGAGTTTAATCTATGGATGTAATTCACTTAGCACGGATATGTCATTCTCTAGTTTATAAAGAGCTGACAGTGTAACATAAAACTACCATAACAAGTTCACTATTATACAGATTTTGCTTATGCGTATATTTTTCTTACATTTAGAATATATCTGGAAGTGGTTGTCCCATGGCTTTTCAGCAGCATGTGGTTAGCAACTGAGCATCTAGACATGTTTTTGCCTAAAAGCTGTTTCTAGCAAGCTCTACAATAATGAGAGATCATACTAACTATCTCTGGAAGATCATATATTGAAATAAGCAGGATGTAGATGTTGCACACCTACTACATGCATTCTGTACTACTTTGGAGAAATAACTTTAAACATTACTGCAGGGTTTCTTTCTCTGACACTGATATCATGTCGGTCACTAGAGACACAGCTATAAATGAAAAAGAAAGCAGATCTAATTATGATCACAATTTAAATCAACCTCTTATGACATTTAAGAAAAATTATGAACAGTGTAATCCTATACCTGCCTAGTCTAAAATGAGCCCAATTGAGTTTAACATAACTATTAGCCAGCTATGTGTATACAAGACTGCAGCCTTAGAAGGTTATTAAGAAACATGATTTTCTCCATGTCTAACTTGTTTTGGGCTGAGAAAAATCAAAGGTTAGAACTCTTGTACATTGTTCTACACATAGGTTGAGGTGAACTTGCATAGAAACTTTGTACCATTTTGCAGCAACGTATAATATGAATGTAAGTATCCCAAGTGGTAATTTAACTGCAATGTTAATTGTCTTACAATACTGTATTAAACACAGTGCAATATTGCTGTCTGATATGTACAAGAGTAATATCATCACTACTATGGCACCTTTTGAGTAAAAGAAAAGGAATGTAATAGAACCAAAATATTTCAGTATTTCTGCTATGACAGTATCAGAATTAAATACAGACTTCAGTTAATTATACTATTTAGCTGCAAAATCTACAAAGAACTAACTGATGAACAAAAGACATGCACAGAGTCATTTTAAGTTATATTTGTAGTGTAGTAAACATAAAGCCTGGAAATCTGGATCTATATTCTAAATTGTTAAGAAAGGCTCCATTTTTAAATTACGGCTATGATTCTGATACACTGATTCATATTTATGCTGATGCTTTTAGAGCTTTTAACAGTCCACAGTCAAGATGTTTAAAAACAATGTGTATTGGTATAGTAGTCAGGAAGAAATAAAATCTACTTCGAAGTAGGATTGCTAAGTTATTCTGAAAACCGCAAGTTATTTCATTATTTTCTAAATTCAACACTATTAGCAAAATATTTTTGAGACTTGCTTCTTAGTTTTAGTTCCTATAACATCACTTTAAGCTACTTGAAGCGATACTGTTCCAGTCAACTCATGGAAAGCTACTTATTCAGTTATATGCCTCCTAGACAAATCAATAATAATTTAATCTAATTTCAGAAGTAATTTATTAAAAAATACTGTGTCTACTTGACAATCTTCTACCTTTCAGAATAGTGGAACATTTCACCTCCAAAGGCTCCTCAAATATGACGAATAGTGTTTATGATTAGCAAACAGATCCACATAATTATTCTACCAATATACCCTTAAAGTCACATTTAAAATGCAACGTCTGCCAAGCAGAAAATCCTCTTTTTTAGCATCCTACTTTGCTATCTACACAGCCTATCAATAACATGCTTCTTCGTTGATATTGATCCAAGAAATATTCCATTGAGTTCTGTCTTATGTATTAGGTTGTGAGCTCAATTCCCATCTTAAGTCAAACATTTAAAAATTCCTCACAGAAAAGTGGACAGGGAAAAACAATGTAAATGGCTGGTATTCTATTCAATAATTACAACAGAGTAAGCCCAATTTATGATATCATAATTGAACTAATTCAATTTTACAGTTGTGCTACAAGTACCGAAAGTGTCCCAAAATCTATCTTTTAAACCATACAGGCCTCCCACCCCAATGAGTCATTTTCAAAGTGCTGGAGAAAGGGGTAGTGATGACAATTCCAGCCCTCTCCTGGCAGTGGGACATGGTACAACAGAAAAGGTAGATTTTTGGAAAGTGGTAGCATGGGAAGGTATAACTGCACCATCATAGCTGTAGCTGACTGCAGGATCTCGGGCAGATGTTGCTAATTTTGTCTCTAATAGTGTAGGATTAGGAGGAAAAGTAAAGTCAGTATTAAATACATACACAGCTGAAAATAATCAAAAGACAATTCTGCTTTTGCTTGCAAACTCCAAAGTACTTTATGCTAAGAAATGAAAATCAGATAGTGAGAACTCTGTGCTTTTTAAATAAATCCTTGCTCATTAAACAGCTACAGTTAAATTCTGTTTATGAAAATAATGAAAGAGAAGCATCTTGTAATGTTTAATCACTATAAATGATTGTGAAATGCATCAGTAAGCAATTACAATATGGTAGTTTTGCAACAGTATTGCCAGAGGTCAACAAACTGAAATGAAAGCGCTAATTTTGGAAACCTAGTGTCAGCTTTTATCTGCTGAGAAAATAAGGTGCATCTTACTTGCTAGCATGTAATAAGATATGGGACATACTGGGTGCTGGTTATTTTCAACTAAGTCAATATACAGGGCACAAATTACATTAAAACACCTCTCTTTTTGTTTGTTTTATACATATGCTTTCTTCAATCATGTTCTATACAAGATACAATTATTTAGTAGGATTTAGTTGCAAGATTAACATTGATTCTAAAGCGCAGAGTAGATGAGGAAAAGAAAAACAAAACAAATTATTTTTTCAGTTATGACTTTTCATTTCCCCATCTACATGTTAACTTACAAAATCATTACTTCTTCAAACTGAAATTATTGACTTGAGCACCATGTGTAGATGAAGAGCTGTACAGCAAACTCTGGTTACAAGGGAAAATGGCAATACAAAAGAAGTTGTAAGAGAGACCTTAGATTTTTCATCATGCTCAGCCCTAGTTCAGCTGAGATACTTGCAGGGAAGCAGGGTCATCAGTTGTTTGTGTAGAATACCTCACATCTTTCTCTGTTCACTCTGATGGCAGGTTGTTTCATGTGTAGTTTAATTTTCTTTGAGATTTTAAGTGTCTTTAAAGCTGCATCACTCGGAATCGGATAAGTCACTTTGAACAAAGCAAAGCAAGAATGTGACTATATATTAATATGGCATCATATTGTTACACCGATATCCCAGGGATGCCGTAAGTCCCCCATTAGATGAGAAATAACTTTTGCAGTATTTATTGTGAGTTAAACTGATCATAAAGGCAGGGCCCAGTGAAACAAATAACCATTTGAAGGGAAATAACAATTCTAGACAATGTATTTTAATTTGCAAAGAATTAGACCTCTTCTCACTTCCATTCCAAGACTAGAGTTTGTCTTAACTACTCCTGGCAGTACTTACTGACTTGACCTCTGTAATGGACAAAGACTGAAGCCCCTTCTACACTGTCCTTATATTCTAGGATCAGATTCCAGATTATCTTCTTATCCCAGATTATATGGCAGTGGAGATTCATATAATCCTGTTCAAAGCAGATAATTGGGATCAGATTCTGGAAAATAGGGCAGTGTAGAAGGAGCATGAGCAACAAAGAAACTATTGCCTATAGCATACTGAGATACTCTTATCCTAGAATAAATGCAATGTCTCATCTTCAACAACCACTTTAAATGATCGTGAAGAGAGAGACAACATTCAGGCTTCACTCTCTAATTGATGGATTAAGACTTTGATATACTATCTTTTTCATAATAGTAGTTTTGAACAAACAATTATCCACATGCATTCATATATATATATATATATGAAAAGGGGCTGATAAAATTATGCAAATACCCAATTACATCTAACTGAAGTTATTACAGATAATGGCTTTTTGGAAAGTCTCTGTCATTACACAGAAATAATGCTGATTTGGCTGAGAGTAGATATTGTCAGCAGTTAGAAGAAATAGGGAGAGCTTTGAGTGCTCCTTTCAAGATAAGAGCCAAATCATTTGAGACAAAAGCAATAGCTGTCAGAGAAACAAGATGTAAAACAGCCCGAGATGAAATAAAATCAAGTAGTTTGCACCAAGGTGATATGGTTCCTCCTCATATTAGGTTATGAAATCTGAGTTAAGAATATAAAAAAGCATACTCATACTGTTCTTATACTATGATAAGACACAATACCATATTACTTCCAATAAAAATAAAAGCCATTCACTTTTCTGAAGAATGAAATGTACAAAGTTATTTTACAAATGAGCCTGGCAGTTCAAGTGAATCAGTTTCATTTTCCATTCCTCATTTATGTTACTTTTTGGGGTTTTCTTCAAAAGAAATTTATAGAAAAAGTAAGAATCTGCAAGTAAGACCCCTTCCACACAGCTAAATAAAATATCACATTATCTGCTTTGAACTGGAATATATGACAGTGTGGACTCAGATAACCCAGTTCAAAGCAGTTATTGTGGGATTTTGTGCCTTGATATTCTGGGTTATGTAGCTGTGTGGAAAGGCCCTCAGTCAGTTTAGAAGAGTGGCTTTGAGTATATCAAGGATGAGGAATTGCAAAGTCAGCAAACTTATCAAGGGCCACATTCCAGGGTGGGCAGTCAATGTCAAAAGGATGGGGACAGATATTCCAGTTCAAGACAGATATTTTGAATTATCTGTCTTTATATTCTGGGTTATATGGCTGTGTAAGGGCCCTAAGCCCCAAAAAAGCAGGGTTTGAGATGCCCTGCCTTTCAAGTACAAAAAAGCAATTACTTTTGAGAAGTAATACAACCACAACACACTCACTAATCTGTATTTTCTTACAAAATCAAAGTATGATTTTTCTCTAATACTATACGGCTATTAAACCTGCATTTAAAATTTTCCCCACATATTTTGTTCTCCCAGCACCAGTTTTATTTAAGTAACACAACTGGAAGTAAAATGTGGTAATTTCCTTCCAATCCAAGTAAAAATGTTGCTAATTTAGCAAACCAGATAAGTTTATCTTGATTGATCACCAAATTAGTGTTATTTGATTAGAAATGTGAAGTTCAAAATGTGTTTAACTATTACAAACTGACATATTGCAACATAAAGATCACAATGAATTTGACAAAGTTATGTCAGTAGAAATGGATTTTGGTTCAGAATACAGAGGTGACACAAACATTGCTTTTATGAGTCTCTAAAGAAATAAGAGCAACCCAAGGGACAAAGTAAGGAAAAAGGGTTTGCTTACAAGGGCCCATATCTGCTTTCATATTTAGAGACAATGTTCTTGCATTTTCCCATTTCCTTCCGCAACTCTGCAACCTCGGTCCTCAATGCTGTATTCTCCTTCTCCAGAAAGGCAGCTCGGACTGTGATCTGATTCTCTTTCAGACGTCGAGCATCACGAGATCGCTTGGCTGCCACATTGTTCTTCTTCCGCCTTGTCCAATATTTTTCATCCTGGGGGAAATAACTGATTTATCTGTTTTGTACAAATATCAAAAATCCATAAAATATGTATTGCCTAGCTTGCACTCTCACTAGCTACAGCTGCAATTCCAACCTATAGAATATTGTTAATCATGATAGGGTAACCTCTAGACTGCCACAACATGGTATGTGAGGTGTAACATTATTTTGAAACTTTATTCAGGACCAATCAGACAGAATGTATCACATCAGTTCATTACCTGCTTCAGTGACAACTAGCCATTTCAACCACTGGAAATATCAACGAAACGTACTTTAGTGCATCTAGGACAGTACACTTGCCTAAATGCTGTTTTAAACATCATATGTAAATTATCGACATATGCAATGTACATAAATGTACAATGGGAAAGGAGGATACATTGTAATTTTGTCAGAAGATACATGAATAGACACTAGATACATTGTAACACAACACCCCATCCCAATGCTATAATAAAGTGAGCTTGTTACCTTTTGATCATCTGGAACAAACACTTTCTTGGCTTTTTTAATCATGGGCTGTGGTTTCAGGTCCTCATCAGCAAACTTGTGTTTTCTAGGGTTGAAGAGCTCACCTCCAGGCACACTGGACAGCACTAAATCAGCAGGATCGGGGTTGAAATTTACATCAATCTCAACACCGTCTGGATCAACAGGACTGGGAGTCAGTCTCTCATTTTCTGGTGAGGACTCTGATAAAGGAAAGAGACATTGCAATAGAACATCAGCATGAAAAAAGAGCAACAAAGAAAGCAAAGAATCAAAAGAAGCCCACTGAGGAAAGATTTATTCAGATCCCTCCAATTACAAAGCATTTCACAAAGAATGAGAGCCCTTTCAGATACTTACTATCTAGAGTCAAGGGAGAGGAAAGAAATGAAGAAAGAAAACATGTAATTATTTCAATATATTTACTTAAGCTTAGTTACAGTAGAACAACTAAGTTGCCAGTTAGATACAAAGAATAGCATTTTCAGCTCCATGTGTCTATTCCAGTGAAAAGACATACATGACACTAATATTGAATCTACATTTTAGAATGCAACCTGACATCACTTTAACTGTCGTGGCTCAATTGTATGAAATCATGGCAATTGTAGTTTTACAAATACTTTAACTTTAATTGCCAAAGAGTACTGAAGCCACTTTAAAGTACAACTCCCAGGATTCCGTAGCAAAGAGCTATGGCAGTTAAAGTAGTGTTAAACTACATTCATTGTAAAGTATAGATGCACCACTCTTGATGTGTGCCTTCAAGTTGTTTTGAACGTTTTCTACTTGTAGCTACAATAGGGCAATCCTAACATGGGGCTTTCTTCCTGAGATTTGTTCAGAGGACGTTTGCCTTTGCCTTCTTCTGAGGCTGAGAGAGTGTGTCTTGCCCAAGGCCACCTGGTGAGATTTAGTCCTTAGTCTTTGGAGTCATCATCTAATGCTAAAACCATTACATCATGCTGGTTCTCTTCCATCACTCTCCTAAGATACCATATGTATACTCAATAAACATCTGTTTAAAGATGTCACCCTTAATGGTTGCTATTTTCCATAACATTGGAATTTGGTTGTACATGAGAAGAACTTTAATTTAACACAATGAACCAAAAGGTATTTTATTAATTGATTCTGAGTATAATTTGATATTTCCATGGGATTTTAAATATGTATGGGACTATTGTAGCTTTAAAGCACTGAATGAAAGAGAGGTTGTGAGAACTAGGCAGCCTGAAAGTGGCACAAAAAAATTAGACTTAATTTTACTTGATGGATGAACATAAAATAACTCTTTTACATCATGCAAAGACACACACACATACACATACTTATTGCAATTTTAATGTATATCTTTTAGCATGAAATAGTTATTATTTCAAGGGAATTAGTGCTAGTCTATGGGTGTCTAGAATAACTTTAGCCACTGGGACTGCTTCTAACCAATGAATTTGCAATTGGGTAAAAACAGCTTTACAAAAAGATTTTGTAAGCTTATTACTATGATTGTTATATCTGATAACTGAAGGTGCTCTTTATGGTTTACCATTGAGTAAAGGTAGAGCAGCTTTAAAATAACTGAAATGCTTTTTAGAAGTGCATATCAGGCGACAGTTTTATTTAGCCTTCCGTAAGCAACAGCAAATATCATTTTGCAATGAATAATTTTTAATTAGTTGGAACTGCAAGACAAACAAAAACAATATTTGATGTCTGATTCAGCCATTTTGTAAGGTATGCCACTTCCCACTTTAGCATTATACATACCTGAACTTGTGGTAGTTTCTGATGGTTGGAAAACCACTGTGGAAGAAGATGAGGGTGTGGTGGCAGCAGGAGCACTGGCAGGTTCTTTTCCCTCTAGCTCAGCAACAGGCAGGAGTGGATTCTGATTCAGATCCAGGTGATTAGGACTGGAAGGGATTCCATTTTCTAACAGGAATTCATCCAAATCCATGTACTCCAGATGGAAAGACTCTCCATCATAGGGAATAGTTTTGTCCCAGATGGGAGGCATAAGGGAGGCAGAAACTGCCATTGTACTAGCTGCTGCTGCTTCATCTTCCTCAAGCTTTTCCTTTTTCTCTTTATCTAGAAAAGAAACAAAATATCATAAATCTTTGAAGAACTATGCTTAATATTGATTTAATTAGTATTGGTTGACACATTATTATCATCATCATCATTTATTTCATATCCGCCTCTCCTCAAAGCCGGTTACAACATAGCTAAAACACATAATCATTATATAAAATATACATATTAAAATGTATTTCTACAAAATACGTGCCTAGTAACCACTTACTAAAGAATATCACATGGTCCAAGATGCAGTCAAAACACAGACTATACCAAACTGGGTGAAACTAAACTGAGTTGAGACCGGCCAGGGACTAGATGAAATTAACTGGAAACGCTTATGTCCCCTTCCACACAGCTGTATAAAATCCACATTGAACTGGATTATATGGCAGTGTGGACTCAGAAAACTGTGGCCCCTTCCACAAAGATGTATCAAATCTACATTGAACTGGATTATATGGCAGTGTGGACTTAGATAATCCAGTTGAAAGCAGACATTGTGGATTATCTGCCCTTGATATTCTGAGTTATATGGCTGTGCAGAAGGGCCCTATGACTTCTGTTTTGTAGTTCCAACCAAAGTAATTCAAAATAACCTTGATAAAGCAAAGATAAATCTGTAAACCATTTTTTACAAGCCAATCTGTGGCCAATTCACATATGTAAGACACAATAACACAGTAAACAAGTGACAAAGGAGTCGTTTGTACTATAGGTAATTTTTTAAACACATGAAATGATAAAATTACAAGACAATTAAAAAGCATTCTGTGAATGTCTGTTCAGAAGCAAGTCCCACTATGGAATTTACTCTGAGGAAAGTAGAAACTAAATCTATGGGGGAGAGGAAGGGAAAAGAAAAATCATTACACATCTTTGACAACCTATAAGGGCAAAAACTATATTACTGAACATTTATTATCACTCTGCACAGAATCAGAAGAAGTTTAAAGTTATGAAAGCTTATACAAAAATAAAACAATTTTTCCCTCCCCTCTCCCTTCTTTTTAAAAAAAAATCATTATAGGTTGGGTATCCCTTATTCGAGATGCTTAGGGCCATCAGTGTTTTAGATTTTTGATGTTTTTGGATTTTGGAAAACCTGGAATTGTATATATGTACATAATGAAATATCTCAGAGAGGGAAACAATGTGAAATTGATGTGTCATACACACCTTATACAAATAACTTGATCATTTTATACAATATTTTAAATATTTTAAAATAATTTTTAATCAACACCTCTCACTACAGACCATCACTTTTGGCTCCAGCCTTGCATCTTGTTCATTGTGAGATGAAAGGCTAGAAACAGATTGAGGATCTGTGAAATAGTGGAAATCCAAGCTTAGAGCTTGGCGCAAATGTATGTCTACTGTCATTTCATTTCTCCCCAATCTCATGTTTCTTGTGTTTCTCCAGTCACTCTTTGGGGAAACTTTTGGCTGCCCATCTCTGTCCTGAGAACTAATGAGGAACAGTGTTGCAAAGGTAACAATGGATGGTCATCCTGTATTAATATTTTTGCAACATATATGGTTAGCTAGATTCAGCACCAGTGATTACTCCTCTACATACATGTAAAATATAAGACACAGGTTAAAAGCTCAAATCAAAATGGATTAAAATGTACCTTTCTCTTCAAACCTTTACAACAGAAAAGTAATTAATATTAAATTATTTTCATTTTGAAAACTAAAAGATCAGCCTTGGCAAGAATCTGGATAGAAGATTGCCAACTGCTATAGGCTACTTTTCTGAACACAGTGGCAAAATGTATTTGAGTGTTCCTTGAATAAGAAAACACTATGAAAATTTTGAGGTTGCCATAACACACACACACACAATGCCAGTCATTCTGAACTCTCTTATATAGAGCAGATGCTGTCAAAGATTAGGAGGAACATGGATTAAAAAAACAAAACAAAACAAAAGTAAGTTTAGGAAGACTAATATTTAGATATTAAGTCTTCTTTTCTCACAACATGAGGGAAGAAAATTTATTATTAAATGTCAGAGAAGGGGAGATAATCAAACAAGCTTTCAGCCTTGTCCAGCAGATATCAAAGCAAGTATATTGCAAGACACATCCAGAGTTGAACTCCACAGAGATTTACATTCAAGTCTATTTTGGAATGCAAATGGAGAAATATTTATCTAGATCTGGCTAACTCCCTATTCTCTTCAAGTAGGGCCATTTCCTACCTACCACATAGTATCATTTGTCAAAAACATCTTTAGTCTGGATTCCTTAAGTACTATGAGCAGCCACAACAAAAGTACTTTAAACACAAGCGCTCGCTCTCTCTCTCTCTCTCTCTCTCTGCAATAGAGCTTTAAATATCAGCTAGAGTATCTGCTACAATAACAACAATGTGAACCACATCTCCCCCTTGTAAATTTCCATCTGTTGTCTCAAGGGAGGGGAAAGTGTATAGGCCCCTTGACTGTGGTTTGGAAGCTGCAGTCAGGCTATCTGGAAACAGTGATTAAAATATTTTCTTGACACACTGCAGGACAAACTTTGTGACTCCAGTCAAGTGCTGCCCAATATATGGAAGATAATCTTAAGATGTTCCGTGGAACTCATTCTCAAGATAAGTATGAGAGGTGTTTAAATATTAGAAAGGGTTATTGAGATGGGAACAAGCTTGTTTTCTGCTGCTCCAGAGAACAGGACACAGAGCAATGGATTTAAATCATAGGGGAAAAAATCCACCTAAACCTTAGGTGGAACTTCATGATGGTAAGAACTATTCAACAGTGGAATATGCTGCCTCCTTGGAATGTGGTGGAGTTTCCTTCTCTGGAGGTTTTAAACAAGAGGTTGGATGACCATCTGTCAGAAATGCTTTGATTATGTATTCCTGAATGACAGGGGGTTGTACTGGATGGCCTTTGGGATCTCTTCTAACTCTAGGATTTCACTGAATTCTGGCAACATGATTTCAAATGATATTGCATGGGATCAATATGATGAACACAGGGGAAAAAAATCCTAAGCTCCTGATTGTAAGGACACAACTCAGCGACAGGAGCCACTGGAGATATTATGTGATTCCAAATATCACATATACTCGATTATAAGCCGAGTTTTCCAGCCCCTTTTTAAGGCTTATATTAAAAAAAGTTTTTACTCTAGTCAAGATTATTATTTTGCTCTATTATTATTATTACATTTATTATTTTACTCTATTATTACTGTTACTACTACATTTCCATTATTTTATTCTATTATTATTACATTTATTATTTTACTCTATTATTATTGGAAGGATATGTAAGCACATTTACACTGAAGAAGGTAAAATAATGGTTTAATCAGAGTTGGACAGTCTTATCTAAAATTACAATTTTATGTAAATATTCAAAGACATTAACCCACTGTTGCCTCAATTAATGTAAGTTTCTTGGTTTCTAATTTTATTTTATCTTGAAATTTACCAGTGGCTGCTGCATTTCCCACCCCTGGCTTATACTCAAGTAAATATTTTTTCCCAGTTTTTTTCTGTGTGGTAAAATTAGGTGCCTTGGCTTATATTTGAGTCAGCAGTATTGTATGATCTTTTAATATGAAGTTTTAACTGGTTTAAATGTTATGCATTTTAATAGGTGCTTCCTGTCATATTTTAATATTTTATTTATTTATTCATTTATTCATTTACAACATTTATATGCCACCCTTCCCACCCCAAAGGGGACTCAGAATGGCTTACAAGTTATATCTACATACAATATATTGTATTATTAGCATAGCACAATATTAGTATTATGTATTACTATATTGTACTATACCACTATACTATAATATTATTAGAGGAGCCAAGAAGACAGTTCCATCTTGTCTTCAGTGTCATCAGTTGGGAGTCCCTCCCCCCAGCACCAACTGCTGCTCTGAGACCAAAGTAAAAAGGAAGATATTGTATTTATTGTATTACTTGCAAGCCACTCTGAGTCCCCTTCTGGGAGAGAAGGGCGGCATATAAATGTCATAAATAAAGACATAAATAATATGAAATATAAAATTATTATATTGTATTATTATTATATTGCATTACATTATATCAATATTATGTGTATGCAATATATAATTAGCACAGCACAATATTTGTGTGTGTGTGTGTGTATATATATATATATATATATTGTACTATACTAGTATACTGTAATATTATTAGTAATATCACATGTAATATAAAATACATCATTATTATAGTGTATTATTATATTGTACTACATTATAATAGGAGCCCCCAGTGGCGCTGTGGGTTAAAGCGCTGAGCTGCTGAGCTTGTTGACCGAAAGGTTGCAGGTTCAATTCCAGAGAGCGTCATGAGCTCCCGCTGCTAGCCCCAGCTTCTGCCAACCTAGCAGTTCGAAAACATGCAAATGTGAGTAGATCAATAAGTACCGCTCTGGCGGGAAGGTAACGGCGCTCCATGCAGTCATGCCTGCCACATGACCTTGGAGGTGTCTATGGACAACGCCGGCTCTTCGGCTTAGAAATGGAGATGAGCACCACACCCCAGAGTCAGACATGACTGGACTTAATGTCAGGGGACAACCTTTATCTACCTTTACCCTACATTATATTATTATTATTATTATTATTATTATTATTATTATTATTATTATTATATGTATATACAATATATTATAATATTAGCACAACACAATATTAGTATTATATATTACTATACTGTTGCTGGGGAAGGGGCTCCCAACTGATAACCCAGGAGACAAGGTGAAACTCTGTCTTCCTGGCTTCCCTTCCTTCACTCTGGCTCCAGTACACTGCTGTTTCTCGCCTGGTTCTATAGAGAAAGCTTGCTAGCATAAGAAATAACAACAACAATAATAATTGTTGGCTGCACTCCTATACACATTGAGTGGGGGGGGGGATGCAAATACACTGCACAATTAATGCAGTTTGACACTATCTTAACAGCCATGGCTACATATTATGGAATTGTGTGAGTTGTAGTTTTAAAACTTCTCTACCAAAGGTAAAACTCCATGGCAGTTAAAGTGGTGTCATATTTTGCATTAATTCCACAGTGTAGATCAGGCTTGGGCCCTCCAGGTGTTTTGGACTTCAACTCCCATCATTCCTAACAGCCTCAGGCCCCTTCCTTTTCCAGGGGGAAAGGAAGGGGCCTGAGGCTGTTAGGAATGATGGGAGTTGAAGTCCAAAACACCTGGAGGGCCCAAGCCTGAATTACAGCCTTAAGACACGCAGAGAAACGAACAGGGCGGTGAGTACTGAGGGCCTGCTCTCCTATCTCCCTTCCCGCGAAGGCCTCAACATGGAGGCAATCTCTCCCTCCCTCCCTCAGCGCTTGAGGCCCTTCCCTCACCGAGGCGCGCCTCCCGCGGCGGGTTCTCCATCAGCTTCTTCAGCACCAAGGGGAAGGCCCCTGCCAGGCCCCGCTCTGGCTGTGAGGCGGCGACGGCGACCACCGCGTCCCCCGCCGCCGGCTCCTGAGCCTCGGCCCGGCCGGACATGCTCCCCGCCACCGAACGGCCCAAGACCCCCGAGAGAGACCCCCAGCTGCGGGGAGAGTGAGGCGCGCTGAGGGGAGTTTAAAAGGAAAGGGGGAGAGGAGAAAAAAAAACACCCGCCAACACTAACAACTACGCATGCGCCGCCTCTCCTTCGCGGGGCCCCAAGGTTATTTATTATTCATAAGCGCCACCGTTCCCGCCCGGCGATTGGTTAAGCCGATTAAGGGGCGGGGCCTGGCGAGCCCTTTGAAGGCCAGCCACCGCCTTCAAATAGCTCTCGACGCAGACGCGGCACGTGCGGTGTAGGGGTGAGCGCTCAAGCCACGCCCCCTCCCCCCGCTGTAGCTTTGCGGAAGCTCCTCCCCCTTTCTCTCTCTCGCGCGCCCCCGAGGCTGAAAAGAACCTTGACAAGAGTGGAAAAGGGGGTGGGGGCTCTGAAGCTTTCCGAGTGGCCAATAGGAAAAGGGGGCGGAGCCCTCGCTCGGCGCCTAAGCGGAAGGGAAGGGGGTCGTCTCGGGACACCCGGATGGGCGATGTCACCTGCTCCTGAATTAGAATGCTTTTGAAGGCCTTTGATGGCAAGCCATAACACCCACTTTAGGGTGCATTTGCATTGTTGAATTGGACACCACTTTTCACACTAAATGCATTGTTAAATTATAGTTGTTGAATTTGACACCACTTTTCACTCTCTAATGGATCAATGCTGGGATTTTGTAGTTGGGTAAAACTCCCAGGATTCAACAGCATTGAGCCATGCCATTAAAGTGGCACCAAACTGCATTAATTCCCCAGTGTAGATGCACTAGAAGCAAATGCATACACACATTTCTGAAGCAGTATGCCTTGTTCAAACCAAATCCAATGGGGAATCCTACCTAGAGTAGACCCATTAATCTATAGAAGGCCTGGGCAAACTTAGGCCCCTCCAGGTGTTTTGGACTCCAACTCCCACCCTTCCTAACAGCCTCAGGCCCCTTCCTTTTCCCCGCTTAAGCGGCTGAGGGGGAAAAGGAAAGGGCCTGAGGCTGTTAGGAATGGCGGGACTTGAAGTCCAAAACACCTGGAGGGCCCAAGTTTGCCCAGGCCTGGGAGAGATGGCCACATCTGAGGTCTGCTTTATCTGTTGATTCACGAACCAATGAGCTTGGACAACATGGCCCTTGGGATATCCTCCAACTCTGCGATTCATCAAATATTCGAAACCTCCAAAGCATACACAAAATTAAAACAAAAACAAACCCTGTGTTGATGCCATTTATGTAAAGATGAATCAATACTGTCAGTTCTCTGTACCTCAGTTTCTGCGTCTGTGGATTCAACCATCTAATAATAATAGTAACAATAACAATAATAATAATAATAATAATAATAATAATAATAATAATAATAATACTTTATTTATACCCTGCCACCTTCTCCCAAAGGGATTTGGGGCGGCTCACAAAGAACTCAAGGTGCAAACACACAAAATACAACAAGTGCATAAACAATAACACTAAAGCAATAACCAACAACATAGCATCACAAAACTCACTGGTTGAAAATCAATAAAATGTGACAATAGCTGTAGGTATTATGCAAAGGAATAAATACAATGCGAAGGAAGGGAGAGAGGGAGGGAGGGAGGGAGGGAGGAGGGGAAGAAGAAGAAGAAGAAGAAGAACAACAACAACAACAACAACTACTACTACTACTACTACTACTTTATTTTTCTACCCCGCCTCCATCTCCCAAGGGGACTCGGGCGGCTTACATGGGGCCAAGCCCAGGCAACATACAATTAAAAGCAAAACAACAGCAACTTACAAATTAAAAAGACACAAAACAGCATAACAGGAATAAAATACAACAATAGCTTAAGCGGCTGGGTGGGAAAAGGAAAGGGCCTGAGGCTGTTAGGGATGGTGGGACTTGAAGTCCAAAACACCTGGAGGGCCCAATTTGCCCAGGCCTGATCTATAGCAACACTTTGTCCCATTCGTTAGATCTAATCTATTCGGCCCAAGCAACTGGATTTAGTCCTGTATCTGTTAATGTAAATATAAAGAGTCTTTTCACTCTCTGAAAAGAACCCAAGGCATTATAGCATGAAATGTGTTAGACAGCAGCCTGCTTCCTCGGGAATTATCCAGAACGTCAAGCATTTTTATAGGTCAAAGTGGTGATAAACAATCCCCACCCCAAGCATAGTCCAGTTTTCCTCACCACACCTGCTCACCGCACCCATTTGCTCATTAAGGAGAAAGGAGTTCCCTGCCCGGCAGAGTATATGTCTTCTCTGTGATTCAGTTCGCAAAAAGAGCAAGGACACAGATCCTGAGTGAGGGGAAGCTTATCCATGCAAGGATGAAGTAATTCGTTTAGTACTGAAGTCAAGTTCTGACATGGACACAAGTTATGAAGCATAGTAGTAGCATATGGTCATGTATGATCCGAGTAAGATCACTGATGAGGACAAGGATAACGGAGGAAGGCAGAGAGTTCCAGAAAAACATCTATTTCTGTTTTATTGACTATTCTAAAGTCTTTGACTGAGTACATTGTAATAACTTGTGGCAAGTCCTTAGTGGTATGAGGATACCAAGTCACCTGGTCTCTCTCCTGAGAATTCTGTATAACGACCAAGTAGCAACAGTAAGAACAGACCATGGAACAACCCACTGGTTCAAGTTTGGGAAAGGAGTACAGCAGGGCTGTATACGCTCACCTGACCTATTCAACATGTATGCAGAACACATCATGCGACATGCGGGGCTTGATGGATCCAAGGCTGGAGTTAAAATTGCTGGAAGAAACATTAACAAACTTAGATATGCAGATGATACCACTTTGATGGCTGAAAGTGAGGAGGAGCTAAGGAGCCTTTTAATCAAGGTGAAAGAAGAAAGTGCAAAAGCTGGGTTGCAGTTAAACATAAAAAAACAAGATTATGGAAACCAGATTTATTGATAACTGGCAAATAGAGGGAGAAAACTTGGAGGCTGTGACAGACTTTGTATTTCTAGGCACGAAGATTATTGCAGACGCAGACTGCAGCTAGGAAATCAGAAGACATTTACTTCTTAGGAAGAGAGCAATGGCCAATCTTGATAAAATAGTTAAGAGTAGAGACATCACACTGGTAATGAAGATCCGCATAGTTAAAGCAATGGTATTCCCCGTAGTAACCTATGGATGTGAGAGCTGGACCATAAGGAAGGCTGAATGAATACATGAATAAACAACAACATAGAAGCAGAAGTTTTCTCTCCAAAGATGTTGGAGACTGCTGAAAGGCAAGTTCACACAGGACTCCCATGTAACTAGGCCCCATCTACGCTGAGCATTTAACACAGTTCAAAGCTAGCTTCAAGCAGCAGTGGCTAGACAAAAACAAATAAATGAAAGCCGTTAATGCACATTAGTGCTCTGCGGCTTCCGTAATCACCATCCGGACCTCGAACTGGTTCCAGGATATTCGATGTAATAATCTACACAGCAAAACCACTTTCTTCAATACTGGTTTGGAATGACTTTAAATTGTCAGTGTAGATGGGGCTTTAATTGGGGCTAGTAAGTGGGGATAAGTCCTTGCATTTAGATGTGACTGCTCAAAGGTAAAGTGGAGCCTCATCATTAGTATTATGCATTCATTAGTATTATGAGGAACATAGCCCAATCAGCACCAACAACATTCATCTGATGTTTTCAAGGAATCATGAAAAATGATCTTCTCCAAGCTTCCTGTACTACAAATAGGCTGTTAAATTTAATACTGAATAACAAAAATGTTAGATGTAAAATGTATCTGGGAGGCCAACTAGCCCAATCCTCCTTTAATTCAGATCCAATCCTCTCAGGTGCCCCCCCAATACCTCCACAGCAAGGAACAAGGGAGTTTGAATACTACTTAATATTCTTGCCCACTTGTAAGAAACTTCTCCGTTGAAAATGACAAACAGCATGAAGCTGATCCAATGCTTTTAGTAGAACATTCCACGTTTCTCTTTTGCATTGCAGGAAGGGCGCAAGTACCTCAAGTACATGTAAAACTCAATCTTATTTTTATGACTGTAGGCCTTCCAATGGAGATGGCTAAACTGTACATTATAGTAAGAATATTCTGTTTTTGTAAATATATTCTAGATATAACTTTGAAATTTTAAAAGTACCCCCATAGCAGCCTCAGTTCCCTGTATGGTCCCCACAATCAACCTTCTAAAATACAACACATTATAAACTTAAATTACATAAGCTTTGTCAAAGAGCAGCTTGACAGAACGAATATGTGGTTTATATTCACAAATCTGATACTTCTGTGAACTTCTAACTCACTGAGAGTGTATAATAACCAAAAGAAGCAGATCGATGAACACACAAGCCTACCCCCATGCCTTATTACGGTAGTTCAACCTAATTAAAGAAACCTTGGCCATACATTTCCCATAGAATAAATTACATAACTTCCCAGATTCTTTTGCTTTAGCAACATATCACCCATCCTTGCTATCCCATCTACTGGAGGCTCCCATATAATGGGGCAGTGAATCTGTTTTGGGTTTTAATCTGGAATTTAAAGGAGCCCTTTAATAATAATAATAATAATAACAATAATAATAATAATAATCCTTTATTTATACCCCGCTACCATCTCCCGCAGGACTCAGTGCGGCTTACAAGAGGCCAAGCCCAAATACATCAATAAAACACAACAACAACAATGCAACAATAAATGACTCATAACAAAGCAAAACAATAACAATAATATCACAACGCATTAAAAACCTGTGGCAGGGCCAAATGTAATGATTAAAAATTTAAAAATGCTGGGCATGTTCAAGAGAAATAGGATGGATATTTTAGGGATAGGTGGGCATGCAGACAATTCTAAATCTCTCGTAAAGTGCATTTGGAACATATTGCTTGGGATTCATTCTGGGAAGGCACACTGGAACAGGTCTTGAACCCTATTTCAAAGTGTGTTTAGCACCTTGAACGACTTTAAAGCTAGCTAAAATGTGAAATGGATTCACCACCTCACTGGCAGCAGTGCCATCCCTGTACAGAATATGTATACAGTACCACTACTCTTCCTTCAAATCTTTTTTTAAATTCCATATTTACTGTGTGTTGACTGGCCTTGCCATTAGGTACAGAAA